AAGAGGGGGAAGACTGATGGGAACGACCATCAACAAAAAGGGCTCGACGAACTTTGATCTGACGATGGTAGAACAACATCAATAAAAATAATTATTATATTTTATAAAGTTTAAAAATATTACAACCATATACATTATATTTAAAATTATTGAATATATAAAGTTGAAGATATTTAAAAATATAATAGACGATGGAAGAAAATTGTGTATATAAATTATCAATCAAACATAGAAAAAAAAGTAAATTAAATTAAAATACAATTGTTGATTTGTAGATAATATAATTATATGTATGTGTGTGTGTGTGTATGTATTTGTACGCGCGCACACAATGTGAAACATTACCATATTGACAAATCGAGTGTAAAATATAGGTAATATTTTAAATAACTAACTTTGTTAATTTTTAATTATTAGTTTTATACTTAATTTATAGTCAATATATTATAAGAATATAAATTTATTTACATATTTAGTTTGATAAAAAAATATTTTATTTTTATTTTAATGCTCCCTTGTTGTTCACAGGCGTTATATTAACTTTATAATTAAATAATTATTCTATTTAATATAAAAAATGAATAAATATTAAATAAAATAAATAATATTTCATCAAAAATACTTTTTTAGAATTTTAAATAATATTACAAAATCTTTTACTTTATCATTAAATTATTTATAATTTTTATTTCACGATAAGAATTTTATTTCTTTTTCATTCTTTGTTGCACAATTATTTTTTCCTCAAACACCCGTGTAGTTCACGGGCGTTGTACTAGTATATACATAATATAGATTTTGTTATATATATATATGTTTAGTTGTTAATATAACCATACTTGCGTAGACCAAACGAAATGAAGGGGGGTCGACCGGATTATATGTCGTCCTGAAATAGGTCGACTTAAGGAGTATTTAAAAGAATGTGACGACCTCGAAACTAGGTCGATTCAGGATCTTGTGGTGACTCGAGGTCGACGTAAACCAACCTAAGAGCCACGAAGACGACTTGGGAACTAATGTAGGAAAAACGTACGAGTGGGAAGGATAAACGAGATACTCTCTCGTAAAACTCACAAAACTCAACAATATATTATTTCATTCAAAATCAACTATCTCAAAACAAAGCAGAAGAGCTCTTTAATTAAGGCTCATAACCCTAGACCTAACTCTAGACCTTAACTTGTCTGACAAGACAAGATCTCTTACTAAATATTAAACAATAAATATTAAATTCCTAACTTATCCTCTAAGACACCTATTAAATAATAATAATAATAATAATAATAATAATAATAATAATAATAATAATAATAATAATAATAATAATAATAATAATAATAATCTACACCATTCTCCCCCGGTTCGGAAGGCTTCGCCCTCGAAATCGATGCACTCCCGTGGCCGGCGTGTGGTATCGAACTCATGGTAGCAAATTCCGTCATTTTCTCCGGTCGAACACGATGGTTGAATATCGCTCAACCTCACATAACAAATGGAGGATCATATCGTTAGCCTCATAAGACATTTTTTGTTCTTCAGGGAACTTCAAACATGTTCTCCAATTTATTATATTGCCACATGTCATCCCTTTCTTTAACAAAACCTCTGGCGCCAAATAATCAAGTGTCCCCCCTGTAGAATATACCAATAAACGATGATTGTGTTTCCACTGTTGTAGCGTAGTTTTTGTGCCCGAATGCCCATGGTGTTCATTTTTAGAATACGGAGCAATAAAAACAACAACCTCTAGCAACATGAATGAATATTTTTCCAATGGCTTACACAAGCTAAAATCAGAAAGCGTCAACTCGGGCCCCGGAAGCTCTTCATCGAAAATCGACAGACCGTCATACAATGGCCGGTCAAGTTTCTCTCTGTCGAATTTGGGGATGTCGACGCGAAACGGGTCTTCCCAATGACCATATTCGCGATCAAGTCTTCAATCCAGTCGGACACGATATCCGCCAGCAAAGGCTGCCTCCTCGCGCCAGCCCATGTCGCTGCGTTGATCATCGCCGTCCACGAAGCCGTTCAGAGGTGGCAGGGACCACTGTCGGGGCGTCCTGACATGGCTGCGTCCCCCACAACCGCCTCTGTCTCCCCCGCAAAAGCCACGACAGCCCCATCGCAGT